GGGCGGGCTCGGGGCTGCAGCTCGCGCGGGGGCGCCCCCGGGGCGGCGACGCTGTCACAAGACCCCGACACGCGACGGGGGTGGCGCGTGGGTTGCGAGTCCCCCTTGCCTGGATTCTCACCTCGAGACTTGTGCTCAGATACCCGACAATGTGATCCCGGCCGGGGTGCAACTGGGACCCCAGACCCGCGCAGGCACGGATCCTGGGCAGGACCTCTGGGGTTATTGTGACCCGCCGCTGAAAGTGTCAGAGGAAGACTAGAACTCCGGCTCTGTTCTGTTTGATTTTCAATACAGGGTCTCACTGTGTAGTCCCGGATGGCCTCAGACTCGCTGTGTAGTTCAGGCTGGCCTGAAACTCTCAGCGATTATCCTGCCTCAACCTCCTTCCTGAGTGTTGGGATTACAGGTGTGGCCAACATGCCTGGCTGGAACTCAGGCTCTTTGGACTCTTTTTCCAGTGCTCTTCGGAAGCTTTCCAGGCGGCCTTTCCATGCAGGCTGGGTGCTAGGGTCAACACTGACCCCCTTGTACCGGGGAACTGGGCAGGAGGGAGCTGGGGTCTCGGTGTCACTGGAGAAAGGAGGTGAACACGTGTCCCAGGGCGGCCAGGGTTCCAGGAGGTTGAGGTCGGGATCTAAGAATGGGGCCCTGAACAGGACTGATGTTGGGGTGGGGGGCTTCCTGGGAGAGTGAGGGGACCCCTCAGGGCACAGCCTGTTAGGAGCTGGGTGGTAGAAGCTTTCATTTTAGGGCCCTGACCCGGCGGATTTCCTGTGCGACCTAACCATGCGCTGGGGGCGCTCAGGGCCCACGCTGCCATGCTTTGCTGGGCTTCAGAGCCTGGAGACTTTATTCTTTTCTCACGGACTTCTACAAGCGTGCCTGGGAGTTCCTAGAGGGGATTAGATCACTGCAGGCCTTGGGGGGAAACACCCTCAGCGCCTGCCTTCAGACATTAAAAACAAAAACCAAAACTCTGCTTCACGGAGAGGAAGGCGCTTTCATCCTGTGCACCCCCATGGGAACTTCTCAAGCACCCTTCCAAAACCGGCCCCCACTGGCCCTGCGCCGCCAGCACCCAGGGCGGGGGCCCCACGCAGAGAGCCGGCTCCGGGTCTTTGACTTGAGGTCTGTGCTGATCGCCCCGACTGTCCCTGCTCTACACCAGCAAGGCGCTAGTCCAGATTACAGCCCGCATACCCGCGGGTGTAAACCAGGCTCATAGACTCCAGCACACCCCCATGTGCAGAGAGCCATGTGACAGCCTCTCAGGGGACAGCGGCTTCCCACGTGACTAGCAAGCATCATCTTCCTGGGACCTGCTTACTTGTAAGGCAGACACAGGTGCTTGTGTCCCCTGCCCGTGTCATTACGCGTCAGGGAGACGTTCTTCCCATTCTTTTCCCCTTTGGTAGAATTTCTTGATTGTACTAACTTTCCCCCTAAGCCGTTTCTGTCAGCTTTACCACTGAACAAATGTCATGTGTTCAACCTGTGGGGGACCCTGGGGTGGGCTAGTAAGGAGTTCTGAGAGCCGGAAGAGGTGAGGAAGGAAGGACACCAGCATTTGGATTTTGTAAAGCCTCACACAAGATTGCTCTAGAGGCTGGGGATTTAGCTCAGTGGTACAGTGCTTGCCTGGCAAGTGCAACGTCTTGAGTTCAATTCCCGGTAACGGAAAAAAGTCAGAAAAGAAAAAAAAATTTAAAAGACTCCTCTGGGACCAAGCCCAGGGCCTTGCCAACGCCAGGGAGCGCTTTCCACTGAGCAGGCCCAGCCCAGCTTGCATTGTCACCTTTCCTTTCTTTATTGTGGTGCCAGGGATTGAACCCAGGGCTTCACACATGCTTAGCAAGTACTCTGTACCCCAGGGTAGTGCGTGCCCTGCCCAGATAGGGTTCTTTTAGTTACAAATGACAAAACTCCAACTCAAACCAGACTTAGCACGGACAAGATGTATTGTTTCACATAACTAGAAAGTTTCCAGGAAATGGCTGTAGGCAGGGCTGGATCCAGCTGCTCAAACATTACCGGAATCATCTGTATCCACTCTTGAGTTTTGCTTTCCTCTGTGTGGACGGGGTAGCTCCGAGTCAGTCCCCACCTGTTTGGCTAGGGAGGATCGGGGAGAAGTGCTGTTTCCTGTGAATTCTACACCTGTCCTTGGAGTGATTCTCAGGAGCTCGGCTTTCATGATGGGCCTGTTATAAACCAATCACTGTGGCTGGGGAACTGGGAGCCTAGAATAGGTCCAGCCGTATTTGTAGGCTCCACCTTGGAGCCAGAAGTTGGCATCAGACCAAATAAACTAGAATTATTATTATTATTATCAGTATTATATTATTATTACTGTTACTATTATTTGGCTGTAATAGGAATTGAACCCAGGGCCTTCACATCCCTCTTTTTAAAAAAATTTTGAGACAGGACATGGCTAAATTGCCCAGACTGGACTCAAATTTGCAGTCCTCCTGCTTCAGCCTCCCAGAATGCTGGGATTACCAGTATGTCCCACCACCCTGCTTAAATTTGACTTCTTAGGAAGGAAGGGGCTTGGCTGTTCAGCAGAGAAATGTTTTCAACACTGCTGAGCTGCACACTTTTAGTTGCAAATGACAAAAATCAAAAATATACACTGGTTACAGTGTATATTTTGCCATAATTTAAAAATATTGTGTATTTTATCATCATTAAATTTTTTTTTTATTTTTTATCTTTTTGAGACAGGGTCTTGCTATACAGTTCAGGCTGGGTTTGAACTCACTTCATAGCCCAGGCTGGCCTCAAACTTGCAGTGATCCTCCTGCCTCAGCCTCCCCAGTGCTGGGATTACAGATGTGCACCACCACGCACAGCTCATCATTAAAATTTTTAGAGAAAGGAAGGGTGGTTTCCCCAAAGGGGAATCAAGGTATTGTCACTAGGAGGAGAAATGAATGCGGGTGATCCAAAACAAACAACTGATTTCAAGAGCACACGGAGGGCGGAGGGCCGGGGATGTAGCTCAGCCGCACAGCGCCTGCCTGGCAAGTGCGAGGCCTTGAGTTTATTCCCAGTACCAAAAAAGCAAAGAGTGCATGGTGTCTGGTGCCAAGGCCAAACCGCTTGTGGCTTTTCTTTTTTTTTTTTTTTTTTTGGTTTTTCTCCGGTACCGGGAACCGAACTCACGACCTTGCGCTTGCCAGGCAGGCGCTTTTGCCGCTGAGCTAAATTCCCAGCCCCTGCTTGTGGCTTTTCTCACTTTACTGCGTGAGTGACTTCAGCCTGCACAGCACACGGAAGGAAGCAGACCTCCGTCCTGGCTCTTGGCAGCGGGGTGGGCAGGAGGGCAAACCTGCTACCAGTGATGGGCTCAGTGTGGCCACAGCCCTGGGAGCTCCAGGGGACTCCACTCCTGCAGCCCCAAGCCAGAGTGTCCCACAGCTAGGTGCCCCAGCTACTTTCTTCTGCCACCCCCAAGAAAGATGAGGATTGAGAGGGATCTCCCCCCGCGTCCCCGCCGGCTGCCTGCTCAGCCTGCTCTTCCGGAGTACAATCTGAGGGGCAGGGCAGCCCGGAACCTCCTGCCCGTCCCATGTCCCCTCGGGGCCTTGATGTTTCCTTCTTTTGTGCCCAGCTGAGCGCTCAAGGACACAGACCCCTAGACGTGGTTCAATCAGTGTCACCCATCCGGCCCTGAGCATAGCTCTGGCTTTGAACAGTCTGTGTGACTAGCAGTCTTATCTGTAAAATGGAAATAATAAGCAGGGACTTGAACAGATACTTGCGTACTCATGTTCAAATACGGCAGCATTATACGAATGTATAAACAAAATGTGGTGTGTGCCACATTCAGCTTTAAAAAGGAATGATGCTGGATGTGGTAGCTCACACTTGTATTGATCCCATCCAGCACACTGGGAGGCTGAGGCAGGAGGATCTCAAGTTTAACCCTGGCCTAGGCAATTTAACAAGACTGATCCTGTCTCAAATTTTTTTCTAAAAAGGTGAGGTGGGGAGGAGCTAGGGGTGTAGCTCAGTACCACAAGAAAAAATAAAAAAGGAAGGATATTCTGGTAACACATTATAACGTGGATGGATCTTGAAACACTGAGTTAAGTGAAATAAACCAGACACAAAAGGACAGTACCACATGATTCCACTCATATAAGAACTTCGACCAGGCCAAATCATAGAGAAAGAAGAATGGTTCCCAGGGCTGGGAAGTTATGGGTGGATAGATCCAGGGTTTGTCCCTGGGAAAATCCTGGAGACAGATGGTCATGGTGGCCACCCAGCCATGTGGATGTGGTTAATGCCACTGAATTGCACATGCAAAAGTTAAAGTGAAGCCAGTCGTAGTGGCACACACTTGTAATCCCAGCGTTGAGCAAGGCTGAGGCAGGAGGATTGCAAATGCTAGTCCCACTTGTTAAGGCAATTTAGTAAGACCTTGTTTCAAAATGTAAAAGTGCAATAAAAAGGGATGTACTCCATGGCATCACAGACACACACACACAAGTTAAAGTTAGTATATTATATGTTTCAGGATACAAGGATGAAACGTGGGGAAGATGGTGGCAGGTCCCCTCTCTTGGAAGTGACCAGAGGGAACGCACTGTCTCCAGAGCTGGTGTGGGTCTATCCTACGCGAAGGCACCACCGCCAGCTGTGCAGGAGGAGCAAGGTGTGGTCTCCAATCTCAAACCCACCCCTCCCACACACACAGTTCAAAAGGTCACCTCCACCACTCACTCCCTGCAGGCTTAAACACACTCAGCGCAGCGATCACCGCTTGGGAAGCACCTGTCCCTTTGGCTTCCTTAGAGCAGAACTCAGGGCTCCGCACCCAGCTGGGCTGGAGGCGAGGATCCTCTGCTGCCGTGGCCCAGGGGATGTTGGACGAGCCTTGCTGGTCCCACTCTTAGCCGCTCCTGACCTGACCTCGAGGTCATGGTGAGTCAGCCAGCTACCCGGTGTGCTCAGGGCAGAGGTTGGCTCCCTGGTCCCCTGCCCTGGCCTCGGCTGCAGGGTCTCACCACGTGGAAACCCACATGCGCCACCATGCCTGGCTGTGGTTTCCACATTTTAAATTATTATTATTAAAGCTTTAATAGTCCTTTAAAATTAGTTTACCTGCTTTATAATCCTTTAGGGCAAATTCCTAGAAATGGAATTACTGAATCAGAAAGAATCTATATTTTCAAGGTGTTTGAGAAGTTGTCCTAAATTGTTCTTCAGAAAAAGTGTGCCAATTTGCTCTTCTGCCTACTACAGGGGCTGCCTACAATTCTTTTTTTTTTTTTTTTTTTTTTTTTTGAGACAGGGTCTTACCATGTAGTTCAGTCTGGCCTTGAACTCAGTAGGTAGCCCAGGCCAGCCTGAATTGCATATTGAGACCCTGCCTCAAAGATAAATAAATAAATAAATAAATAAATAGATGGGAAAGCCAGAGAAGCAGGCGGTGAGCTATGAATTCATGCTGCAGTTCTAAATGCTATTTTGCCCCAATCCTCAGTTGGAAAGTTCTTTTTAAAATGTGCCCACTATTTGAATATTATTTGCAAAACATAGAAATCTACTAACTCACAAAAGAATATAACTAGTTCTGCTTGTTTTCTTTTACTATTAATAGTTAATTAATTTTAACGTAACAATTTAAAAATATCTATAGTTCAAAATATACATGGACAGTGGGGTGTGGTGGTACACTCCTGTAATCCCAGCACTCAGGAGACTGAGGCAGGAGGATCGTTGTGAGTTCGAGACCAGCCTGGGCTACAAAGTCAGCTCAAGGCCAGCCTGAACTGCACAGCAATACCCTGTCTCAAAAGGACCAAAAAAAAAGATACACACACACACACACACACACACACACACACACACGGACATTTCTCCAAAGATATAGAAAGGTCAATAAACACACAAAAAGATACTCGGTACTTTTCGACATTAGGGAAATGGAAATCAAAGAAGAGTGAGAAGCTGAGCGTGGTGGCACATGTCTATAATTCCAGTACTTTGGAACGCTGAAGCAGGAAGAGCTCAAGTTCCAATCCTGCTAGGGCAATTTAGTGAGTCCTTGTCTCAGAATAAAAAGTAAAGTGGTGGAGGTGTAGCTCATTGCAAAGGCCCTGTGTTCAATCCCTAGCAATGCAAAAAAACCTACAATGAGATAGATACTACTTCTCACTCATTGGGAAGACTGTCATAAGAATGGCAGGTGATAACTGCTGGTTAGACTGTGGAGAAATTAGAGCATGCTGCTGGTTGAATGTAGAATAGGACAGAGCAGGGCATAGTTGTGCATGCCTGTAATCTCAGCACTCAGGAGGCTGAGGCAGGAGGATCGCTGTTTGAGGTCAGCCTGGGCTACATAAGCAAGTTCCAG